CGATACTATATATCAGCTCTTGAGATATGGATAGAGTTGAGACGTAGAAAACACTCACACCTGGCTATTCGAGACATGTCTACTCTTGACATCATCATCCACTTGGAAATCCAATTCGAAAGTAATTCACGGTGACACATATCAGTCACGTGACTCGATGAGGTCGGTTTACTAATCAGATCCCTGTCAGATCCGAAAAGATTAGTAAAATTCCCGTCAAAATCCTAATCCCATAAGTATGGCATAAGCTTACTTTGTTACTTTTGAGCCGACGATCTGTAGCACTAGCAGAAGCAGACGTCACCGACACCGACACCTGCATGCCTGCAACAAATCTATCAACATTTATTCACCCATCTCCTTCTCACATCATCCACATCTCTGAAAGCATATGTTCTACTGGCAACCCGCTTTCTTCTCAGATGGTACAACCCGTCCAGCTTCTCATTTTCCCCCTCTTGACATCTCACCTCCGGGAACACTTCCAATACCACCTTCTTCAACCGTCCGGCCGTCTTTCTCGGAGTTGACAACACAAGGAGACCCAACCACTTCTTCGAAACATCCATCCGAAAACGAGATACCAAATCAAGCTGTACCCATGACCATATCATCAAATACGAACCAAATAAGTAAGGAGACTTCGGAGAAGACGGAAACAGGAAATGTCGAGATGAAAGAAGGAAGGTCAGCTTGGCCTTATGGAATTTGTGATGGTGTACTCCCACCTGATGGTATGATGTCTGTTAACCTTCTCACCCCTTCGGAGAATAGTATATTTGGAAAGGTCTCTCAATCAGCTTCAGCTACGACATCTTCCAAAAAACAAGATGGAAATCAATCTTTTTTGGAATCTTGTGATGATGTAACTGTCGCAGGACCGTCTGTAGATGGTGAAACTGCTCAAGCATCGTCGACTATTGAGGTCGCTGTTCAAGATGGACCAAAGGGGTATAGGGTAGATTATGGATTTAATGCTAATGGGGATGGAAAGTGGCTGGGTTACTCATCTGCGATGCAATTAGGGGGGTTGAGTAAGGCTAAAGGAGGAGATGGGGATTTTTCGCAACGACAGCCGGAAGTCATAATATCACATGGATCTTTCTCTGGAGGAGCGGGAGAAGAAGGTGGGATTGGGATGATGTTGGGGAATGATGACGTTTCTGCTAGTAAGGGAAAGGGGAAAGGGAATGAGTCACTGGAGGTGCCGGAGGAGGGAGTGGGCGGAGTGACCGTTCCAGAGGTGGGAGGGGACTCAGGAAGTGGAGCGAGAGTAGATTGGCCAGATTGGGTAGAAGGGGGAGATTCAAAGTGGACGTTGGAATGCTGTCTTTCTTGATCCTTACTCGCTCTCCCATTTATACAATCATGAACTACCCGCCATTTGGAT